AGAACCTGCCACATGCTGTACGTGTGGTGCACCTGCATGCCAGGCACAGATTCCGCAATTGGTTTGCGAATGCATGGGTTCCTAACAAATTTGCTTTTGTGAATGTGCACGCCACAAGCCAAAGACGTCAGAAATCCAACTCATGGCTGCCTGGCAGCGGCTCATTCAATTGTTGAAACGATCTGAGCCAACCTAGTTTCTTTGGTCGAGGTGGACCTACGCTGCTGAATGCTGTGGACTGTGGAAGTAAATTGCAGCTACATGCGGTCCTACGAGCCCCGAAATTCCAATTCTCCATCAGCCGAGTTTTCCACATCAGTCAAGTGGCTGGTTGAGGAACGTCAGGGGATCCCCCAAATCTGTGAATGGCCAGGTTTAGGTGGCCGCTTCTAAACACAGTACCTGGATAATCCTGGATACAATGATATACAATGCACCACCATGCGCACCGGAATGCAGGCCCGAGAGCCTTGGTTCTGAGAGACACGGCTGACTTTTTCCAGGAGGGGTGTATCGTCTATGGCCTCTTCATGGATGGTGCCAGATGGGATAACGAGAAGCAGGTCATCCAGGATAGCCTTCCCAAGGTGCGCACACGTGAGCACCAAACCAAGCACCGGGTGGGCCAGACCTCGCGGATTTCTGTGTGAAGATGTCCAGGGAGCTGTGGAGGGTTTTGGAGAGTTGTTTTGGATGAATCAACATGAACCAACTGGAAAATAGGTGTCCATCCATATTTGGTGGTTTAAGACGGTCTATTTGGATGCATTCTCGCGGGACGACCATGAATTTGGACGCTTCATGCGCGCAACGCGGATACGTTGGTTCAGGTGCTCTTCAGCGAGATACCGCACATGCACTGGATCCCCTGTGAGAAAGACAAGGACCAGCGGCGGAGGTCTCCAGTGGTACATGTCCCCATGGGTGGCAGGATCCCACACTGCCTGCCACATGGGAAGAAGTAGACTAAGTAGACGTCTGGGGAGCTCGGAGGGTCATACTACTACATCCCTCCAAAATCGACGATCTACCCTCCGACTCACTCACATGGAAGTGGATGGCACCTCCTGTTCGTAATGGAAAGTTGTCTTCCAAGGGACCGTTGCCACTTCCATGTTAGTGAGTCAGAGTGTAGAATTATGACTGTTTTCTTTCTAGCTTTCTCTATTGGCCTGAGTTTGGTGCCTTTAGTTAGCTTCCTTTTTCCTTCTGGGAACCTCCAAGCACCCACAGAACGGCAGGTACATGACGTGCATATACTGCAAGACAACTTTAATAACTTTGATATATTCAAATATCAATATCAATTATCATCATTCCCTGTTTGTTGCATGTTCACCCATATATGTCCTGGAGCTCAACAGCAGCTCCCCGCTGACCAGGACCCCACGGACCTGTCGAAGGTCTACCCCTCGCCAATCTACAAGACCTCCGAGCGGAAGGTGAGGGGCATCGGTCTGGGTGGTCGGATTGATTGGAGAGGAAAACAGAGCCAAAGAGTAGCGTCCTAGTTACTGTAGTAGTAAGGCCAGGAGCTACTAGTGGGCTTCTTGTTACTGGTAGTAAGGCTTGGTGAAAGACCTTCGCACCGTAAGAGGCTCCGCCCCGACGAAGTGTTTTTGCAGCGGGGCATGGGCTGGTCGAAGTTGGGTCACGCAGTGAAAGAGTACGGGGAGTTTTCCAGTGCACAGCTTTCGAGTAGCCACGGCCACAGCAATTGCGCCGTGATTATATAGGTGAAAAGACTACGCGTTACGTTGCAATTGGGCTTGTGCATGCCTTCATTAGTTGTACTGATTCCCGGCTTGATGGACTCAGATCTCTGCCTCTTCGCTCGTCTTCGCTTCCTACACCCGACCTGCCGCGGAGGGCGTGCTCTCCACCACGGGGCACTCCACGAACTTCGTGTGTACCATCAAGATACCTATCGCCCCGCGACGCATGGGATGTGATGGGATGCTGGGAAGACGTCGGGAAGCAGATGAGGTGGGACGATCATGTTGATGCATATGTACATATGATTGCATATATATATAATATGTGTGTGTTTCAATGGGTGGGGGCGCTGGTTGATTCCATAGTCAATCAGGAATCAGGACTGATCTCGGTGTAGATCTCAGCCGGTTGAAGGGTTGCATCTCGGCTGGAGAGCGCTGCTCCTACCAACCACCTGACATCACCTGACCATGTTCCCAAAAGGGTATCAGACCGAAGCACTGTTGCTTTAACCATTCCTCAAGTGACTCAAGTGGCTCGTTCTCAGGCAGCGAGAAATGATGAGAAATGCAAAAAAAGACAAATGCTCATGCGGATCATATATAGTGTGAGGTCCAAGACAACTCCACGACACTTGGAGATGAGTTGTCTCGCACTTTCAGGACCCATCAGACTGGTAGCAGAAGTTGTAAGTTATATTATATTATATGACCTGTGCGGCGGGTCTCAAATGCTGGACCGTGGAAGATCCTGGCTGGTTGCAGAACAGACATGAATTCGTTCTCTTGCGAGGCTCCCCAGCATGCATGACACACACCAACAGGGTCGCGCAGCCTCTCACCCAAGGCGCCGGAGCACAGCGCCAAGTTCTGGATCAAGCGCGGTGTGGCATGCCTTTGCCACTCGGGCCAGACAATTGGCACATGTTGACACCCCAAGAAGGTAGGATTGGGTAGGCTCTAAGTATATGCTTACTGATGCCCAGCTGCAAAAACATGGCTGGACCCCGTGTTTGCTCAGGTCAACTTGATGATTGAGACCGTAGCAGCAGTGGTCTTCAGGGACCAGGTCCGCAACTTCTCAGAAGTCCGTCAGTAAAGCACCGAAAATATACGAGTCGTTCGAGGATTGTTCGAAACATTTTTCTACATGAGTCGGGCTCTTCGGGAGTAGGCGGACGTGACGGACGTGTATTGGTTCTTAGGACGTCTCACAAAGTCTCACAGCAAGCCTGTTGAAGATGGGCTTTGGTGTCACAAGGTTGCAGGTGGGGCTGGTGTGCCTACTGGCAGACCCGCACCAGACATCGCCAAACGAGTCACCAAACCAGTCACCATCAGCCGCATGAGTTTCTCACGCCCCAAGAATGGTCGATGAGTTCAATCGGTTTAAAATTGGCTCGACGGCTGAAAGCCAGAGAGTCCACCTGGGTGCCATCACTAGGAATTCCGAGAAACAAGTTACATCAAGCTACACAAGAACAAATTGGAAACATCATAATTAACAATCCTTCTTACTTGACACGCGCGACTTGTACATCGGAAGATACTTGTGGTAAATGAATGGCACCAGGAATGCATTTCCGGGAGTGCATCACTTTGTGAAAAGAGTTATGCTGGCCAAGACAGGCTGTTCAGCATACGATCAGCATGAGCTTAGAAGCATTGGTGAGAAAAAAAAACACGGTGGAAGTGGGTGGTGAAAAGGTTCCTATTCCGACTCTACCCACCTCGCAAAAAGTCAATATTGTTCATCTCTAGGAAGGCCTAGTGGAGAATTCTTCACAGGCACTGGTGGCCTTTTAGAACGCAGAAGACTTGGACAGCACCTGTGCAGATGGAATGAGCTTGGCCAATTCAGATTGCAGGGAATAGCTGGTGGATTTTGCGTCAACATCTTTCAACAGAGAATTCCAGAGAATTCTCGAAGTCAAGGAAGGGGGCCCTCAGACTTCTGGTGCTTTGGAAACGGACCAAATTCAGATTGGGAGATGTGAGGTTTCTCCGTGCCTCTGGGGGCTCCAGTTGGTGCTCGCCAAAGGGGCGAGATGGAGAGAGAAGTCATGCCGTGTGGAAAAGTCGTGAGGTCAACGGCTTTTTTTGTGCGACATGGGTTTCCCCGACTCATTTGAATCATTCGAAGAGGAAATCTGAGGACATGCCTCGGGCACGCCGGAGAGGAGTGTACACAGTTGTGAGGACAGTGCTATGTACAGAGTGCTTCATAAAGTGTTGCTTGTGTCAAGTTTTCTCAGCTTATTCTCACGGTCTCAGTGTGCGTGTGACGAGCGATATCCTCTCTCTACTCTCAGCATGAGTTACTCTCTCAGTGCTATGCTAGATGTGGAACCCTGTGATTGGAACAGGGGATCATCCATTTCGCCGACTCTACATCAGTGAACGCCACCCTGGTTGACTTGGATGCTTCCCAACCAAGTCAACCGCTTTCCCACCGTCATTCTCCTGACGCGACCGTGTTTGAACCTCCGTCGCTGTTTGAGCAGCTCACGCTCCGATGGGAATCCGTCCGTCCGAGCGTGGAGCTCCTTGGGCAGATGAAGATGTAGCCTGCGACATGCTGCGACATGGGTGATTGAAAGTTGCTTGAGCCATCCAACTATCACAGGCCACGACGGGCGAAGATACATCAACCCAAAAGCTTTGGCCCCTGCAGAGTCTTTGAGGCCCTGGGTTGAGGAAGGCTGCAGAAGCAATCTGCACGGTATCACATTCACATGATGTGGCTGTCAAGCTGGTGCAAAATATCACCCTCTCACATGCCCCTAACCTGGGCTTCATGCCCCCCCAATTCTTAGGGCTTTGTGTGCTCTGGGTCTCAAATTGCTAAGTCTCTGCATTTGCAGGTCATTCCGCTGTGAGCACCCAAGGTGTCAGCCTACTATATAGCTTCCAGCAATCAGTTGATGCAGCCTTATATGCAGCTCTCTTAGTCACTGGGGCACGCAAAGGAAGATGGAGTAGGCCGTCAGTGCTGTGGCACACACAGATATATATATATATACGCACATATATACACACTCGCATCACCGAAGCGTTATAGCTTTGGCTCGATTTCAGTTGTTCGATGGGCCATAGTAGGTCTCATGTCCTTTTTGCTTCTTTGGAACCGAGTACCTGTGGCTACCTGCCGCTTTTTTCCTGTGGAACAAGGGGCACCTGCCACCAGGCTTCCTCAGGGTCAATATAAACAGCTGCCCACCAAGCACGCGACCTCTGCCAGCAGGTCACCACAAAGCTGCAAAAACGTACAAAGCTCTCCTAGGAATGGTCAACTTCGTCTTCTGGCTGACCGGCCTCATCCACACTGCGGCCATCGTCCACCATGCGGACCAGACGACCGAGCTGAGGCTGTGATGCGAGGTCGAGACTAGAACAGATGCAGAAACAAAGAGTCGTTTCTTCGCAATGCTCTGAAATCTTTGCAGTGCATCAGCCTGCCGTTAACGCTGCTTATGAGACGTTTGTCCTTTTTTACATTTTTAGTTTTCTTCAGAAATGCAGAAATACATATGGACTTGCTGGCAATGCTGGCCATGGTGCTGCTGATCGAATCGGTGGCCGAGGGCCAGGGTGATGATGGCGACCACGGTACAACATGACTTGTGATGGTAGTGATGCAGTAGCTGTGGTGGTGGCATGTGGTGGTGAGGAGCAGCACCTCAGGAGTAAATCATGTTGATTGATCAACCCCACATGGATGGTCTACCGTAATTGCTGGCTTTTTCTTCCATCCCTTGCCCAGGGATCACTGGACGGCTGATGCGGTACCCAATCCAATGAAGAGTCCGGAGCAGTGTGGCCGCGTGGCCGCGTGGCCGTCCGCTTCCGGACATCGGTGAAGGAGACCATAGGAGACCATCCGATTTGGGGAGGGATGGTCTGCGCCTCACCCATGATAAAGTTTAATCTATAAGGTTTGGGGATTTTGACATGCTTTTATAGATGGCGCGGGATTTGTGTGAGTCGATGAAACATTACATCATCATATCAGGACATCTCATCACACCTATAAAGGACACACTTCAAAGATCTTCAAAGTACGTCAGAAAATAGGACAAGACCGCCAACAAAAATGTTGAAACACAGACGCCCAATGTGAGCTCCAGGTACAAAGCAGTCGGCCCCAGGTAGGAGAAAACTATGCCCTTTCGATAAATCCATGCTCACTGCGCCGAAGCTCTGTCTCGAAAAAACAGCCTGAGGTCTTTCAGCACCAGGACATCTCTGCGATCCGGATCTATTGCTTTCCGAGAACGAACGGCGAGACATTGAGCAGGCCCTGAGGGGAAGGACGCTTCGGTCATCGATCGTGCTGGCACACCTGCAAAGCCTTTGCTGGGAAGGCTCCGGGGAAGTTTTCGGGGAAGGCGTCTTCCAAAAAGATACGAACGTGGAACGCGCCACCCCTGTGCAGAGCAGTTGTCTCATCTCAAAGACTGATGCACCAGGACGATGCTGGCGGCTCAAATCCCTGAAGGGGTGGTTTGGAGCAAGTGCCTTAACTAGCCGACTCGGAAGCCAATGGTCAATGGCTTGGTTGGAGGGATGTCTATATATATATATATATAGATGGAATCCTTAATTGTTTAGAGAGAAGGTGGCCAACATACAAAATACCGGCATGTCTAATGGGGATCTGAAGGTTAAACGCACACTCACCCGCCGCCTGCAACTTCACACATGATTGAGTCTCCCAGTTTTTGGTCACATCCAACGCCCAGAGTCAAGCCCTTTGACATGCATTTGTCCTCCCAGATGCGGCCTGGTCTTTCCACTGCCTGTGACCCCTCGGAGGTCCTCCTGAACATCACCCGACAGACTGGAGTGATGTGCCCTGATGGCCGCTTGGCGCTCGATGAGACGGCATTCTTCGCGGTTCTTCAGCCTCCCAGCAGACCGGAGTGGGACTCCCAAACTTGTTTACCCTGTTAACGTTTTAGGCATTTAATGGAAAAAAAAGGCATACAATGGATTATGATGGTGTTGAATGATATTGATGAATCACCTTGCAGGTGAAAATGTATATCAGAGCTGCGACGTCTATATATTGCATAGCAGAAGGCCGTTTTCCACCCGTTTGAGTGGAGCAGTGGAGCATGATTGCCATTTTTTCAGGGGACCAGCACCGGGTGCTGGTCGCAGCTTTGATCAGGGTTTTCTCGGTGGCACTGCATTCATGAAACTTAAGTTTGGACGTCCCCGCACCTCGACAAGGTCTTCGATGGGTGACATTGCACCACATGCAGTTGCATGTCAGGCCACCGAAGAGCCAAAGAGGATTCACAAGTTGATTCATGCGCTGATTCTAGCAGCATGCCGCATGCCAACTGGAGTGCCAACTGAGTATGTCTATATGCAAGCTTGCCTTTTGTTCGATGAACCCCTCCAGTGAGTTCCAAGGCAAAAATCATTCTTACCAAGCTGCCGTGCTGGTGGCAGCTCAGCTGAATTGATTGCACCGGTGCTCTTCTGCGGTGCCGACAACGCGCTGGGGCTGACTGAGGTGAGGAGCGTGGCACGCTCCGAATGGCTGGGCTGGTGGAACAAGGACCGGGGGTGACGGAGGTCTGGATTTGGGCGGCCAGAGGGGCCCAGGGGTGAGGGGAGATCATATATTCAATCGAAAGGTACACACTTTGACAATTGTATTCAGTTAACTCAGTTCCCCAAGGAAAGGAATGGCTCAACGGTAAGGTGAGGAGTCCGATCAATTGAAGATGTTTGAACAAGTGGTTTGTGCACATCTGCAGACTCGCGACAGCAGCGGACGAGCGGCGAACGGCAGCTGCTGGGGCAGAGTAGGTTTGTGGGGAGTATCATGAACCACCATGGAAACAAAAAAGGGAGATTGGACAGCGTGATCAACAGTTGAAGGTGCAGGTACACAGGGATGATCAGTCCCCGCATCCTGGTCGACTGCATGGAGCTTCGTTGGCGACAGCCATGCAGTGACCCTGTCGCCCCCTGCCGGTGAAACTGTGGGTAGAAAGTGGGGGTTGAAGTGACGGTAGGAAACCCTTGGCCCAGGGGTTGACACACACAGTTCGCCGTCATCGGCGCTTTTTCAAAAGCGGTGGCAGGCGTTGTGTAGAACTTTGAAAGTGGAGCTTTGTGCAGAAAGCGCCAATATAGGCGCTGCGAAAAAAACTAATAGCCACCTAAAAAGCCTTAGAAAGACAGACAAAGCAAACAAAACAAAAGCAGACTAAGAGGGCAAGAAAGAAAGAAAGATAGGGGTAGTTACGAGGCCCACTTAATAGTTAAATGACACTTTAGTTAAATGAAAGTAGAGCGCGAGCGGGACATTTGTCTTAAACCGCCCGGGTAGCTAGCAATAGGCTAGGATAACAGAAGGAAAGGCACCAACACACAAGTGTGTTGAGTGCGATTTCCTTCTGTTTCCCGAGTAGCGGGTGGGGTAGCAAAGGGCCCAGGGGTAGGGAGGGGGAAATGCACAGTTAATTTGTCCGGCCTGTGAATACTTAGCAGCACATGCACATGTGAATACTTAGCCGAAAACATGCAGAAAAACCTTGCAAACGTTGCACACTCTGAAACAGTCAGTTCCCGTGGTGAGGCCCGGCGGCCGTGGTGGCAGTTAATTCGGTGGTTGTGTAGGTGACTTCCTGTGGGATTTGTGTGAAGAGTGGTGAGGTCAGTTCCGGCCTGTGAATACTTAGCAGCATATGCACATGTGAATACTTAGCCGAAAACATGCAGAAGTAGAACGCGACGGAGTCTGTTGGACAATCAGTTCCCGTGGTGAGGCTCGGCAGCCTTTGTGGCAGTGGTTGTGTCGGTGACTTCCGGTGGAAATCCAGTGAAAAAAGTTGGGTCAGTTAGTGCTTGCACGATGAGACAGCGCCCCAATGACGGGGATCACACTCAGCACCCGAGTGGGGCGGCTGAGCGAAACACACTTTGACAATTGTATTCAGTTAACTCAATTCCCCAAGGAAAGGAATGGCTCAACGGTAAGGTGAGGAGTCCGATCAATTGAAGATGTTTGAACAAGTGGTTTGTGCACATCTGCAGACTCGCGACAGCAGCGGACGAGCGGCGAACGGCAGCTGCTGGGGCAGAGTAGGTTTGTGGGGAGTATCATGAACCACCATGGAAACAAAAAAGGGAGATTGGACAGCGTGATCAACAGTTGAAGGTGCAGGTACACAGGGATGATCAGTCCCCGCATCCTGGTCGACTGCATGGAGCTTCGTTGGCGACAGCCATGCAGTGACCCTGTCGCCCCCCTGCCGGTGAAACTGTGGGTAGAAAGTGGGGGTTGAAGTGACGGTAGGAAACCCTTGGCCCAGGGGTTGACACACACACACACACATATATATATATATATATTAGCAGTATATATATATATAAATAGCAGAAGAGGAAACAAAAGTGATCTGTGAATTCTAGTCTGCTTGGACCCCAGCAACCTGGGCCCAACGTTGGCTTTTTCGGGACCCCCCCGCAGCCCCTTAGGTCGGTCCCACCGGTTCGTCACCGCCACCCGGCGCGTAGGAGCGGACGGGCGAAGCATTCGCCCATCATGTGGGAGATGCTTGGGGAGTTGGCCATGCTGGCTGCGATAATGGCGGGATCCTCACACCCTGCGGGAGCATTTTTTTTTGGGGGGGTGGTTTTCAAAGGCGCTTGCTCTTTCTGCTGAAGGTTTGGGGTGATCTTGGGATATTTGGGGTACATGGTTTCTTCTATGAAAAGCTTCTTTGGGAGTGGAAGTCAATCTTGTTAAGTTTTGCTGTAGTGGAACCTGGGTGACATGAACAGATTGAGGATGCTCACTTTGCGAGTCAAACTCCTGGCTTGGAAGATGCGCCCGTGTTACTATAAACCCAAACCCAAATACTCCATGGGACTGGTATACATGCCTACATTGACCATCATTGACCCCTCAAACCACCCCAATGTAGGTGCTGTAAATATGGCAGTCCCGTGGAGTGTTTGGGAAATACATTGTGTCGTGTGACTTCCATGCTTGAAATGCAGTCCCCGTGTTGACAGATGAGGTGTGATGCTTTTCCTCTCCATCAGTGACCGCATGTTCTACCTGAAAACCGCCAAAAAGACTCGCGAAGTGCTGACGGATGGCCTTGCACAACGAATTTTGGACAACATGAAGCCGCTCCTGAAGGGTGGATACGTCGCTTGGACCGCTGAGACGTGAGCCGAGGTATGTCTTGTGCATCTTGTGAGTTCGTTTTGACGTGTTCAGGAGCTACTGCCTTCCAAGCATAACCCACAGTTGGTGAGTGTCGATGTGGATCATGGCCGTCGCAGTTGAAGAATTCCGCCTTGGAGCCGGCAAGTGGGCCCAAGTTTCCTCGGACCTAGCACGGTACCACAAAAATCAGAAGCAAGGATTTCTATGCCTCTATGCGATGCTGTGTGTCCCATTTCCTCCAGATCTTCCAGCAGAAAAAAGGGATCCCAAATCCACGAAACCCAACCTATCTCCCGCCCCTTGGACGAATGCTCCTTGAGGGAAACCAGGGACACTTGCTTCAAGGGTCACCGGCCCTTTGTCAGGTGGCTGATGCCATCCTCAAGGGCTCCTCGGAGATTCTCTTGGCGCTCCAGGGAAGCACCGTGCCCGTCGCCCGGTGTGGGAGTGGAGTGCGGTGCGGACGAAACGAAACCTGAAGCTGCTTGAGATGTCGCGACTGAGCTCCTTGAAGAAGGCCGAATGCTCAACTTAGAAACATGTGGACATATCTTAAAGCTTCTTAAAACCTTGGGGGGGTGGCGGTGCCGGTTCTTTTTGGCATTCTTTGAACTTATCCCATGCCTCCTGACATGTGATACACGGCACCGATTCTGAAACTCTAGTGAAGGTGAAGCTGATGAGTTTTCAGCTGCACTGTCTAAAGCCACGACTGGTTGGCTTCATTACCACTTCTTCTGCGTCGAACAGGGATGCCTGAAATCTCAGCCACGACCAAAGTCTGAGAAATCCTTCCAAAACCCAGCGGCATTGAGTGTGACACCGCGACACCCAGTGGTGTAATTATTCTTCTCCAGATTGGGACACCACATCGGGGGGTGACACCCGGCCGTTGTCTCCGCCCGGGATTCAGGCGAATCGATGGCGGAGGGCCGTTCCCACAGGTTTTCTGAATTCCAATAGGTGGAAACGGTAAACTTGTTTCCAAGGGCAACTGAAGGGGTCAGAATGTGGTTGCCACATACCATGGAGAACACGGAGAGAAAACGCCCTTTGATAGGGGGGGCGGCCAAGGCAGTTAACCTTGTGGGAATTGGAGGGGCATTGTCAGCAATGGAGGCAGAGAAGAATTTCCCTTATAAGTCAATCAATCAAAATCGATCCAATTCGAACGGATTAGAGTCCAAAACTGTCAGAGCCGATTTCAGACTCCATTCACCGACTCGAACCAGTGCTGAGATGTGCTGAGGTCTATCGGTCATGGGGTGACTACTTCACCATTTTCATTCTGAGTATCGTTTTCTGCTGCCATTTGCCACAGATCTTGGCATTCTTTCTCGTCGCGATTGCTGCAGTGTCTCACTGGCATGTTTGAGCTCCCTTGGAGCGATGCATGACTCATGTGAGAATGAAGCCTCATGCCTTGTTCGGTACATTCTTGGAAGGCCGTGGTTTTACAGATGCTTCAATTATCGGTAAAGGTGGATTGTGTTTGGTCGGCTGTTGTGCTGATTGGAGGCACATGGTCACTACCATTGGCATCAGAAGCAACTGTGCAGGTTTGGGCTTTTGCTCTATCCTTTTGCCAAGCTGGCTGATGTCTTCAGTGGATGATGGCGGAATTGGCACACGAGTCAGGCACAGCAGGATCTGGAACGAGTCCAACTGGAATTGGACAAGGATGAATTCGACCAAGCGATGTGCCCCATTTGTTTGGAGCCTCCCGGCTTCCCAAAGAGAGGCTGTGTGACCACTGATTAGTACTAAAGCAGAGACCCCTCCATAGTTACCTATATACATATATATACATGAGTCAAAAGGTGAGACTACAATTATGGTTTTGTAAATGACGTTTCCAAAATAGCAGCAGGGATACAGTGGTCCCATTGAAAGTGAGCGATTGTTGTTCTGACACTGAGGGACTTTAACTTCGATGGTGGGAAAAGCGGGGACATGCAGAAGTTGGAGTGCAAGCACTGCTTTCATGGGGCATGCATTGCAGAGTGGCTTCGTGACCATGAGTGCCCTTGCTGATCGCGAAGTCTCCAATTATTTCAGATTGAAATCAGTGACTGATGCTGGTCCGCGAGGCGCTAACACGGATCCGCAAAACTTAGATCTGTGTTTACTCTCCCTCTTCGAGCTTCACTTCCGCGTTCATCTTCCGCGTTAAGACTTCCCGCTTTCATGCCCCCCCGTCGCTCGCCATATCTCGCCCTCGCTGGATCGTGCCACGCGACCTCGCAGAGACAGCGGACAGACGTCGGACGTCGTGGTGCCGTCGCTCAGGTCTTGCCCCTTGTGCCGCGCAGAGGTCGATGTGCAGCTAACAGAGGCGGATCAGAAGAAGCCCGAGCACTATCAGAGGCGGTTTTTCTGTGGGGACCGCTTGTTGCCGTCAGCTGGCTGGCAGGCTTTGGGCGTTTTTGGTCCCATACGGATAGGAGGCAAAGAAACAAGACAGGTAACCCATTTGCATCCATTTGCGGTTTGAGACCGACATGTTGGTGACGAGCTGAGGACCAGCTAATCAGCTAATTATCCAATGTTTCGGGATGTTTCGGGCAGATGTTTGATCAGTACACTTCTGAAATTAGACCATATTTGGATTTGCAGGAGGCCTGTCTTTGGAGGCCTTTCCATCGAGGGCGTCCCACGTGGATCTGAAGGAGTTTGTTCAAATGGGTCTCTACCCGGACCCTTGATGGCAATCGCCTTCAAATTAACACAAAAGAGATCAAAGCTACATATATTTGATGATCATTATTATGTCCTTCATGCATTATTTTCCTATCCTATCTTACCAAATGAATAATAGTGCATGAATGTGCATGATCCACTTTCATTTTGGTCAGTATTTCATAAATTAAAGGTGGGTTAGAATCTTAAGGTGATATCGGGTTCCAAGATCTACTGCAAAATAGAATCATGCACGACTCCTGGAACTTGGAACCCGAGATCATATTCAAAAGGAAAGAGGGCCCATAACAGGTCCCATGTGAAGATTCAGATGTGGGCGGATAACCCCCTTTTTCAAAGCAAACATCGCCTGTTCGAAAGGAACAAGCATGAACACCAGGCAGGTCTTCCGATTTCAACGGACACATACACACGCTGGTGCACAGCCGGGATTTGACATGTGTGGACGTCCAAACCGCAAGGCGCTTGCGGTTCTACCTCTCAAGGTTGAGTTCACGTTGCATGGAAGAAGCGAGTGGGCCTTGGTGGGCTTGCAGGTCAAAGGACTTGTTATGTTCTTTCTATGACGTTGGGTGCAACTTTGGACATACCTGTCAGCAAGTCTTGGTTTTTGAGAAGCACGAGGGGACAATGTGGCAGAGGATTAGATATAAGTTAGGACTTTAGGACAGATAGACGGTAGACGTCTGAACATGAGCAATCACGAGCAAGGGTGGAGTGCACTGCTTGGGGTGGATTCAGCGACTTTGTCACCTTGGGAGAATTCCAAGACTCCTTTTGTTGTTGCCTAAGAAGGGCCTCAGCGGATGATCCTTGTTACCCTCGGCTCCTCAGGTTATCCGAGCACCTTTCGTTCCTCCCGCACGCCTTTCTACACCTCAAGCAATGATCACTACTTTGTGTACGCTTGGCTCTCAGGTGGTGTTGCCGGGATCCCATTGAGCCTGTGGGACATTGTGGGACCAGCCGACTGTGCTTTGCTGTAGGGAATGTCGTGCTTTGGGAAGTGCTGTACGACATCATGAATTGATGTACGCTCCAGGTTGGCACATGTTCCTACCCATATTGATTGTTAAGCATATTCACACCAGGAAGACCCTGTTCCCATACCAACCGGGTCAGGGCTGTGTCAAATTGTTTAGTCAAATAATTAAAGCAGGACTCGAGTGGGGTGAACATTTCTCACTTGTTCTTGAATGGCCTACGGCCTGAAGGCCGTTCTGAATTGATGAGATGCTTCATACCTCCGCGTCCCGGTAGACATTCACGAAGTCTCCACCTTTGCAATCTCCGAAGGCATTTTTGGACCCTGATGTTCTGCTGAGACCACCTGGAAGTCAGTTCCAGAAATGCAAAGTCATAGAGGCCAATTGAAGCAGAAAGAATCCATCCATCCGCCCTCACCATTCTCATTTCTACCCTCACCATCCATCCGCCCTCAGCCCGGCTGGGTCCGAACTTCCAAGGTGCACAGTCCTGGATGGACGGACTCCTTGTCGGGGCACTTCCACAGCATCACCACGGCCTCCAGCCACATGGCCTCTGTGGGCCCAGGCCGATCCCGGTGAGCCGGGGCAGAGGTGAGCCTCCAGGTCCGTGTCCGCTGCCTCAGCTACAAGGAGATGTGGTTCTGTGGGACAGCAGCTAAAGTGTGGTTGTCATGCCGTGCCTGCAGGCGGTGGTGGCGGTGGTGGTGGCTTCGGCGGGGGCGGCTTCGGCGGCGGTGGCGGCGCGGGCGGCGGATGGTGATGTGGCGGGCCGGCGCGGAAGCGCAAATGAGATCCAGGTAGGGGCCATGGATTTACTTGATTCATTTTGATATACTGTATCTATTGAATCAACCGTGAGTCCATGAGGGGAGCAATCACCCTTTGGCACTGCTTGATCTTAATTTAGTTCTGGGTCGAAAGACAGGAGGTGGCCTGTGTTATTCTTCCAATGTTAATGTTGTTTCACGCTAGGATGTCGTATACATGTCTCACTTTACTATCGTTTGGCTCAAGGAAAACCAGGTGCGACTTGTTGGTAGCTATCGGTCGTTTACCTGTATCTACAGGTTATCAGCCGTATCGCCATAAGTGCGGTACGTGCTTTCTACTAGCTGTGGTCTCACCCCACCCTAGGTAGTGCACTATCTAGAGGCCATGGCTGATGATGATGGTTCCCGTGGTGACCGCTCACGATCAGGCTACGTTCCTACTTCGCCTGCGATGTCCAGTTCACCTGCTGCTGATCTCCCTGTTGTTCCGCTGGAGTTGCGTGTACCAGTTGCGCCACCAACGTTCAGTGCACAGGGGGACCTGTTGCCTAGTGGTCAAGTACCATCGCCGTTTCAGCCTGAGTTTTCTCCTGTGATGAATGTCCAGAACGTTGATGCGAGACAGATCCATCAACAAGCAGTCTTCGTCAATGAAGACAGGTCAGCACAAGTAGCTCAGATCGCAGAGTTGCGGCATCAGGCCATTTTGGCAGAGCACGGGCAACAAGTAGCTGAGGAGGCTAGGCATTTTAGAGACGTAGTGGAGAACCAAGCTAAAGTGGCTGTCCAGGAGTCTAGGGAACAGATTGAGGCTTTAGCCAATCGACGATTGAGTGACATGAACCAAGCCCACCAAAATCAAAATCTTCAAGAACAACGGGCTTACTTAGATCGCCTTTCGCTCGAACGACACACCGTCGTTGAGAACGAACGCGCCTCTGCCAAGCAAAGAGAGGATGCACTTCGGTCAGAGTTAGCAGAACAGAGTCGAATCATCAAGGAGTTGAGAGAGAGGTTTGACAACGCCTCGGGGAACCGAGTGCCTGCACCATTAGTGCAGCCACCTGGCTCTCAGGTGTCCCCAGCTTTGCCTCCAGCGGGCCTTCGCACTCAGTTGGAGAAGCCCGGGATCGAAGGCGGTGATGAGCCTCATCCATCCGATGCTGATGAAGAGGGTGATGACAAATCAAAGAAAGACAAAAGAAAGAAGGGTAAGAATAAGAAGAAAGAGAAGAGCCCTAAGAGGGGCCGCTCGCGGGAGCGCAGAAAGAAACGCTCTCCTTCCCCATCACCATCGTCACCAAGTTCATCAGGAGGGAGTAATGACTCAAATGACTCAAGCTCTGAATCATCGCGTCTTGCACGCATCATTCGCAAAGAGTTGAAGAAGCAGCAAAAGAAGTCGAAAGACAAGGATCATGAGAGTAAAGCCAAAGAAGCTGACAAAATTCTCATTCCCAAGTTCCCCACGCCTGAGAAGTACAGAGATTGGAAGATCAAGGTGAGGGACAATATTGCTGCAGCTTCAGCGAAGCCGGATGAAGCAAGATCTTGGGTTGGGAAAGTATACAAAGATGCCCAAACCATTGATGCCTTGGATGATTCAGAGGGATTTGCAACCCTCGACGCAAAGCTTCTTGCAAGCTTAACAAATTGCGCTGAGGGGGACCTCGGTCGGCAGATTGCCACATTCAAGGAGCTGCGTGCTCGTGAAGACAAGAACGTGAAGGGTAGACACTTGCTCCTTCGGTTCCACGAGTATTTTGCCACAAGCATAAAGCATGGAGCAATCTACGGGCTCGAAGACCTCATGTCCGTCAAAATGGTCAACGATGACCTCAAAGGCTTTATAAATAAATGGGATAGCGTTCTTGCCGGAATGAAAAAGGAACCGGAAAACAGTGTTCTGGAAGCCTATTTTCACCTGGCAGTGAAGCGTTTCAAGCCGCTTGAGCATGACTTGGCCTTGTACGACCGTGCAGCCGATGGAAGCAAAGAAAGAACATATGACTTCCTGATTACTGCTGCCCGGGCCTATCTAGAACGGAAGAGGTTGGAAAAGATGCGCGACGCCACGAAGCGTTCGCTCGGGTCCAAAGACACAACCATGCCAGCTCCGGAGGAGAAGAAAGGCATCTGCTACGAGTTCCAAAAGACCGGAAAATGCAAGCGCGGATCATCATGTCCTTACAAGCACGAAAAAGGCCGCGAGAAAAGCAAAGGAAAGGGAAAGGGCAAGGATCGCAGCCAGTCTCGGTCAAGATCGCTGACACCAGGATCTCGCAAGGAGACTTGCAAGTTTTGGAAGGCAGGACATTGCCACCGAGGAAAAGACTGCGCATTCCAACACCCTGAAAAGACTGTCCCTGCGAAGAAAGAGGACAAAAAGAAGAAGAAGAAGAAAGACAAGAAACCTCGCAAGCGAAGCAGCTCCCGAGGATCATCAGGCTCCGAAAACTCAACTGGCTCCGAGAGTCAGAGGAGAAAAGGTGGGAAGTCTTCTTCTTCCAATGCACCGGCAGCGGTATGCCTCCTTCGAGCAGTGGTCATGGCCGCAGTGGTCTCTCAGGGATCCTCCGTCCTCATCACTCGCCCGCTGGGAAGCGTGGCCATGCCAGTCCTTTCCGCATCAAACACTATGTGCACCGATTTTGACAACACAGAAAACATTGACTGTTTTGTTACGCAAAGAGTTCGTTTTGACGATCAACCAAACGTTTTCAATCATGCTGTTGAGTCTTCTTCCAGTTGGAGGTCCGTTCAACCCCGGAGTAAGAAGAAACGAAGACCCTTTACACCAGGTCGACCGGAGCATGCTGAGGCAGTTCGTGTCGCCACTGAGGACGCATCCATTGCAGCATCACACCTTCAGAATGCTGTCAGGAACGAGCTTTTGTCCTTGCCGGCAGAATGTTCGTACCTGTGCAACTCTGATATAGGTTGCATCAAGTGTTTTGAGAGGAGGTCATGTCCAACAGTGCCAGCCACTGAGATTGCATGGATTGCAGATACTGGCAGCGCACACGATCTCGTATCCAGACACATGCTACATTCGGATGAAGTGTCACAATCGTCCAAACCGGTCAGCCTTCTTACTGCCAACGGAGTCTTTCAAGCCACTGATCAAGCCAGAGTCAATGTTCCCGTGCTGGGAACTGATATCAATCCTTATGTCTTGGAAGATAGCCCAGCCGTCGTATCGGTAGGTCAACGCTGCATCGACGCAGGATGGAGCTTCCACTGGCCCGCTTACAGTAGGCCATACTTCAAGAAACCAGACGGAACCAAAGTCAAGCTTGAAGTAGAGGATTATGTTCCATACTTGCCATCCACCACAGGTGTTGCAATGTCCGCCATAGGTCAACCTTACGGTACGAACGATCGGTCAAAGGGGCTGCGACCAATGATCCCTCTGCCCGCGTCACCGGCTGAAGAGGCAATTGAAGTCCAGGATGATGAGGACAACCCCATCGGCGAGGATCCTGTTGAAGATGATACCGAGCCAGTGGATGAAAGGTTGGTGGAGAAGCCGTTGGACCCGAAGAGGGATAGGGGAGAGAAAGCTCTCAAGGAAGAAGCACAATCCATTCAACATCTGTTGACTCATACCCCAAAGAACCCCTTTTGTCAAGCCTGCTCGAGAGCAAAGATGACCAAGCGTCCATCGTATAGCAAGGGTGGTTCAACCCAGGTAGAGGCGGATCATTTCGGGCAACATTTGACTGCTGACCATCTTGTTATTCGTGATGATGAGGAAATGGACATCGATGGGGCTCGCGTCGCATTGGTCGTGAAAGACGTGGCAACGGATTTCAGGTATGTCTATCCGGCCGCCCGTCGATCAACACGTGAATGCATAGCAGCCTTCAAGCATTTTGTCCGTTCGACTGATGATGTAGGAGTATTTTATTCCGACAATTCACCAGAACTCATCGCGACTGCCGAAAGGCTAGGATGGAGACATCAAACCAGCTTTGCATACGTCTCTAAGACCAATGCTATGGCTGAAAGATCGATTCGGTCCGTCATCGATGGAACAAGGGTAAACCTAGAGCAAGCTGGCCTACACCATCAATATTGGGCTCACGCTGCCAGGCATGCATGCATGGCAAACAATATCGTCGACACCCGGGAGGGTAGTTCGCCTTGGTCGCTTCGGTTCGGTGAGAAGTTCAAAGGCCCTTTGGTTCCCTTTGGGTTGAGGATTGATTACTGGATCGGCCCCAAGAACAAAGCCAAGTCCTCTCTCAGGTTCGAGCCGACGTCAAACCCAGGGATATTCTTGGGATATGCCGTTCAGTCCAATTTTGTGTGGAGAAAGGAGTTCATGGTTCTACCATTGAAGGATGTCATGGAATCAGACTTCAGTGCGGAGATTCAACCATTAAGAGTCCATCAGATCGCCGTTCCCGACATCGGATTACACTTCCCATGCAAAGGCAGGTACAACATGATAAGAGAAGGGTTGTACCCAGGCATTTCCATTTCGAGCAATCCGCCATCAATTGATGATGTCAAGGCTGCAAATATTGAAGAGCTTGTTGATCAGGAGGTTTTGAAACATGCTGTTGATCAAGAGTATGAGCCTGATGAACCACCAGAACTCCCTGACGTGCTAGTTGACGATGCACCAATCGCCGCTCGCGGGTCGGAAGACCTTGCCGACAATCCGGGGGGTGAAGAGGTTGAGATGATTGAGGTTCTTGATCCTGTTACGGGTGAAACAACTTTGATCCCCAAAACCGGTTCATCCTACTACGATGCCGGAGGCTACAAGGCAAGAAAGTACAAGGGTTCGTCAAAACCACCCAGCATTCCTCCGTTCCTTTGGAAAGCCGCTTCCAAAGCAGAAAGGGAGAAGGCAATTGCAGAATACGAGCTTGAAGAGGCTCGGAAGCGCCTTCTTGCTGAGAAGAGCAAGCATAAAGCAGCTGTGGCAGAGATTGACGGCAAACTGCGAAATTTCAAGAGCGGAGACATTCCCTCTGAA